TTTTTGCTACAGGTGCTGCAGTCAGTGCATGGCCACTCAAAAATGACCTGGCCAAGATGTTGCTGGCTGAGGGTCCAGCACTGCCTGACGTGACACAGGACAGGGCTTCCCTATGCCTCAGAACAGCTCGGCCGTTCCTCGGGATTTGTGTTACAGACCCAAAGGAGCAGCGATCCTGCCCTGCAGCCACGGGAGCGGTGGGTGCCCAGCGCCGGCCGTGCCTTGGGATTTGTGTTACAGACCCAAAGGAGCAGCGATCCTGCCCTGCAGCCACGGGAGCGGTGGGTGCCCAGCGCCGGCCGTGCCTTGGGATTTGTGTTACAGACCCAAAGGAGCAGCGATCCTGCCCTGCAGCCACGGGAGCGGTGGGTGCCCAGCGCCGGCCGTGCCTTGGGATTTGTGTTACAGACCCAAAGGAGCAGCGATCCTGCCCTGCAGCCACGGGAGCGGTGGGTGCCCAGCGCCGGCCGTGCCTTGGGATTTGTGTTACAGACCCAAAGGAGCAGCGATCCTGCCCTGCAGCCACGGGAGCGGTGGGTGCCCAGTGCCGGCCGTGCCCGCTGCCTTAAGGAGGCCTCGAGCTTCGCGCCCGGGCCTGAGCTGCTGTTGTTCCTCTGCACCTCCCTCGAATCCCCCTAAGCCAACACCCTTCGCTGAGACCGAAAAACATTTTCCAGACGCAAGCATGTGTACGTGTGTGGGTGGGTGGGGTGCAGGGGACTATGAAAATTTCAAGGCGAGGTATGACATCCTGGCTTTCTAAATATAGAGGACCTGAGCTGCGGCTTCTCTCACACGCTAGCAGCGTGCTTTCTCTTTCGAAAGGGCCCCAGAGCAAATATTGCACTGGCTGGGAACGTGAAAAAAGGGAAAAAAAATTAGAAAAAAATTAGCCCAGCGAGTTGATTGCAGCTCCCGGCCTTGTTGCGCAGAGTTGTTGTTTAGGCAGAGCTCCAAGCGGTGCCCACGCAGCGGCGGCCGGGCCAGCGAGGCGCAGATGGCCGTCACATGAGGGCTGGTGGCAGCCCCAGCGAGGCGCCGGGCCTGGCCGTGCTTCCCCTTCGCCCACAGCCCCTGGCTCTGCCGTGGCAGCAGGGGAGGGACAGGGCACAGGCCCTGGCGGGGCAGAGAATGTGACATTTTGGCTCCCCGGGAGACGTCGCGTCTCGGTTCCCTTTTCGCTGCCGTTGTTGTTGCTTCGGCATTTGCATAGCACGACATCAAAATGCCTCAGAGCCTGAGGAAAGTGGTGGCTGCTGCTGCTGCTTCTCCTTTTAAAATCTCGAGCAGTTATCCATGCAACACCATCACTCTGTGTGTGTTCGGGGTGGAGGAGCAGGCATGACAGCAGAGGGTTATGGCCTTTGGAAAAGTTCTGCAGAACTGAATTTAATCGAGACTGATGATCTCTAAGCCAAGCTATAAAATCCAGCGGAGAGTTATATCCCAGTAATAGACCCTATTAGAGGGTCTAGCACAGTCTATAGAAAGGATCTCCTCTCTATTAAATTCTCTAGGGCTTGAGTTCTCATTTACACAAAGGGCCCTTTTAGCTGTGTAAAATGGCCATGAAGTAGGTGTAAAGATGATTGATGCCGTCTTTACAACCCCTTTACACTGGGAAAACAGTGTAAAGTGGCCGGGGTGCAAATGAGAATCACACCTGGGTTTGTGAGAGTAAATTACATCGAGCTCTTCGCAAATTCTGTGTGTCTATAGAGGTTTAATCCTACCCCTTTCTGTGGAATTCACCTACAAGATAAATTTCCCAGGCTTATAAAAAATTGTTTTCTTCTTCAACACATCTGTCCTTTCCAAGCCTTTTAGTCACAGTCTTTCTCCTGGTGTAGTCCAGGAGGAGTCTGACACTGGGAAAAGGCTGGGAGGTGTCTGGATATGCTGTGGTAGGTGAAAATCCTTTAATTAGTACCTTCCAAAATTCTTAATCCAAGCAAAATACACATTGTAAAACCATACCCAGGGGGAAACCAGTTCCTAAACCTTCTGTGTCTGTTTCTCCACCTCTCCTGTTTTGATTTTATGCTCTTGAGATACATGAAAAGGAAATAAAGAAGTTCATCTTTGCGAGATCGAAATGCCCCATATTTATTCATTAAGCATATAAACCACCAACAGAATACATGATGAATATTGCTTTCTTCCAGAGCAAAGGGTTAAGCTGCATTGTGCTGATTAGCAAACCGAATTCGTGGCTGGAAGTGGAGGGTGAGCTGATATGGAGGTGCACAGCTTGTTAAGTGGAGTAGGCTCTGTTATCCAGACCTCCCTTCTCCTCCCTGCCCACACGCCGAAGGCATTCACAGCAGCTCTGTGATCATCCCCGCTGTGTCTGCCGTGCCCCAGAGCAGCCCCAGCCAATCTCAGCCCAGGGGTGAGCAGGCAGAGGCCAGGCACCACAGCCCAGCCCCATCCACAGCACCTGCGAGGTGATGGGAGACCGCGGTGAGAACGTGTGGGTGAGGCACAGGTCAGAGGATTAAGGAGACAAAGGGCAGCTCTGGTGGAAATGCTGCTGGGCCAGGGTGGAGTGCTGCACACCAAGCTATCCCCTGAGCAAAGGGACATTTGGGATGGGTGGGGGGAAGCATGCCCTGCTCTGCCAGCACAGCCTTCCTCTTGCTGTGCCAGCAATCGTGCAGTGGTGAGGGTGGGGGGAAAGCTCAGCTGTCATTCAGACTCCCTTTGATCCCTTTCCTGCTCCTTGTTATCTTCTGTGGGGAGAGAGGATCCCACATTTTTGGCTGGAGGGAGGGGCAGGAGCACCGAGGGCCGTGCAGGTAGGAGGAGGGTACATCCTCTGCCCTGAGCTTCCACAGAGAGCGCGGCCGGAGCGTGTGTGGGATTGGGGACAAACCTGAGCACACCACAAGGTGGGGGCACCCCTGTGTACCCATCTCCAGGCAGCATGGCCCTGCCACAAGTCTGTGAGCACTGCTGGCAGCACGTTCCACCAGAGCCATGGGAGATGGGCTGGTTCCTGCCAGATCTGCATGGATGGCCCCAAGGATGAGTGTGATACCACCAGCCTGCCATCCCAGTCCTCTCCTGTTTCAGCTTGCCTCAGCAGTGCCTGGGAGGCAGACTGAGGTCTTTGGGTGGGTGGTGACATGGGCACCCTTGCAAATGTGCCCTGCAGCCAGGCTTAGGAGTGGTTGTTACTTTTAGGTGCAATAAAAAAGGTCGTTTGGAAGCAGATCTCAAAACCCCTCATGTCCTGCAGCTCCTCGCTTTGTGGCTTGGCAGAGGGCACCTTGGTGATGCTATGTCTGCTCCAGAGGCACTTTCCATGACTAAAACTACAGCCCCTACACCCAGCAGTGCTCTAGGTGGGCCACAGGAGACTTCACTACCCTGTCATCTTCTGACCCTGGAGGCTTGATGGTCTAGCCCCTGGATGATGTGTGATCACCGGATGGAAGACAGTTTTTTTGGTGGGTTCAGAGCTCCTTCGACAGCTAGATTTGTGCCAGTCTGGGTTTTTGACTTCTTGATGACTATTTTTGCTGCAGAAAGTTGGCTGTTTTTTTCTTTAGAACCTTATATAAATTTCATTTGGTTCCTCCTAGCTAGTGATTATGGCACAATTTTTCTGGCATGTGATTGCTCCACCCCACCTCCGAGACATCCTTGTTCTGGCTGGGATCGGGAAATCCCTCGTCATGGCAGGGTGTGAGCACCAGCTGGCTTGCCCTTGCACAGATATGGATCAGGAGGCAGTGCCAAATGCTGCCAATTAGGAATTGCTCCTAAATTTAGCTGTCCATTCTGTGCAAGTGGAAATGGCAGTTCAAGGGACAAACCAACGTAATTGTCTTGGTATAAGGGCTAATGAGATGTAAAGCACTTCTAGAGCTGCACTTTCAGGGTGAAAAAGCACTGCTTAAATACACTTTGTTTTTCCATCCTCATTAAGAAATCGTTATTCTGTTGCCCTCATCATTATCAGAGATGTCTTTGGGAGACTGGCAGTCTCTTCTTGCTTCCCTCCCTCCACCCCATTTTAAAAACATTCATTGTTGCAGGGATATATCTTTCAGGGCTGTTGGCCCAACTCCACTGCTGGTGTGTAAGGCTGATTGTCTTCAGAGGAGTTACACCAAAATGCATTTGGCCTTTTGTGCTTGAAGTATAATTGGTGGAACTGGCTAAAATCCGGGTTTGTCAGCCTGCAATTAGAGCATTAGGGACATAGTTTTCAACATGACTACTGATTTAGGGTCCCCTCTACTTTAGGAGTGCAACTCAAGGTTCCTTAAACTGATCTTTTCTCCCAAACATCAGAAATCTGCCTGGGATTTCAAGCAGGGCCCACCAAAGAACCTTCAGTGAACTCACTCATATTTGTTGTTTATTAGTAATTGGGTTAGGTAGCCGATATCATTATTGATAACTCTGAAAAGTTATATGTATATTTTATATGGCAGCCATCAATATATTCAGTTTGATGTTGGTTTCAACCTGCATTGGTAGAGGTCTTGACCTCCCTCATCCCTGCCTGAATGTTAAATTCCCATCAGGTTAGCGTGGATTACACCCAGAGCACCAAGATATGATATATTCCCAAAGCATGTTCCCACTGATACAATTAAGCAGTTTGGATCAGAACCTTATCTGGTAGAAATTGGCATAGCTTCTCTGAAGGCAAGAAGGAAATGGACCCTATTTTGTAATGGCTGTAGCCCTGCAGATAAGTTCCCAAAGATTTAATCCATGGCTATTACAGATCCTTTGTAGGGAGCATTTGTACAGCTGCATCTTTAGGACTCTGTGACCTCTAGCTAATCTCAAAAGAGGCCTTTTCTCCAGAGCAGCCGTATGAAATGCTCCCAAAAGAATTGAATAATAAATTCACTAAAGCCGTGTGAGCATTTTTCCTCATCAAACACCTTCCAAGGGCCCATCCCTTTGCAGTGCCTGTGGTGGCAGTTCCCATCCCTGGCCACAAGCCCCTGCCAGCCCAGCCCAGCCCAGCCCAGCCCCTACACTGGCTGCCCGTGGCCCTCGGCGGCCGTGAGAGGCTGGAAGCGAACGCCCACGTAGAAGACCTGGTAGCGGTGCTTCCACACCACGAAGCACATCAGCAGGCACACCAGGGCTGCCACCAGGTTGAGAGCCATCTGCAGGAGGAGGTACAGGCTGAGCATGCTGCTCAGGCTGCCACAGTCGGTGTCCCGGTACACGAAGGTGCGGCCCAGCGGGTCGGCAGTGTCCAGTTTGCACTGGCAGGAATCCTGGATGGTGTCACAGGTGAACTTGGTCAGCTGCAAGTAGTGGTGTGCAGCAAAAGCCACTGCCAAAACACAGGCAACCAGAGCCAGGGCACTCAGGAGAAAATACAGCAGCTGAAAGAAAGGGGAAAAAAAAGATAAATCCCCATTTTTCCAGCTTCATAGAGATTGAGAAACTCACAAGGAATGCTGTCTGGAGATTGGGTGCTTCAGCAAGCAAGGCTCCTTGTGATGAGAAGTTCAGCAGGTCATCTCAAGAATTTGCCTTGCATGTTTTATATGAGCATTGCCTTGCAATTTGGAGTCCTGGGGAGAGCACCAAGGAACTGGTGTGTTTTTACATCAAGAAGCTTTCTAGAGAGGGAAGGAGCATTTTCCTCTCCAGTAGTACCTGCATTGACAGGAGCTACGGTCATCAGCTGAGACAAATTAGTGCCTGGAAGCAGAGCTGAGCAGATGAGCCTTGGGCTGCCATCTTACCCCAGGCTGTGCTGAGCTCTAGCTCAGCTGTTTTTGAGACTTTGCTTATGTGTTATTCTCGGTTTGCATGTTCAAACAAATCTGATTTATACTTGCAAATCAGGCAGTGGTGTGGCTGATCTCTCACTTTAGGCCCTGTGGATGCAGCCAGCCTTTTGCTTCCCAGGTCCCACTGTGGAATGGGAATGCAGATCTCCACAAAAAAAAAGTGTGTGCTGTGCTCAGTCTGCTTCCAAAACCTGTCCCTTAAACATGGGGAAGTCTTTCACAGGCGTGAAAGGGCAGCAAGCACCTTTCTTTTCCCAGTGCTACAGTGTGAGAAGGACAAGGGTCTGCTCGTCACCTCCACTGCTCCTCGCAACAGTGGCAGCTTAAAAACAGCGCGGCTTTTATCAAGGGTAGCTCTGCAGAGTCCACCCCCACAAACACATGGAAACTGGCAGCAAGTCAGAGCCTTTGACACTCTGGGATTCACCTGAGAGCTTTGGATACCAGCACATATGGGCTTCCCTTTGCTTTGATAGCTGGAATTGGCAGTTGCTGCACTGCGTACAAAATATGTGTGAATGTATATTAAAATCATGTTCTGTGTTTAGCCAAAATTGTATTTTTTGGTTCTGTTCAGCACTGTAAAAACATTTATTTTCCTTGGCGTCTTATCTGTCAGACACATGGCATGGTTGGGAATCTGTTATTTTAAACAGCATCTTCTCTCTCTCTTTCTCTCTCTTAACCTCAATACTGCAAGCAAAATATCAATAGAAAAGCTTTTTTTTGACCTTGAAACTCCAACTATGTATGTCTTGATAAAATTCACACTCCTGGTGCATTTATCTTAGAACTACACTGTGAATCAATTTTCTGTTTGGTTGCCAGCTTGAAAAAAAATATTTGGGATTATTGCAGGTCCTGAAGCACTATGTACATTTTCCCCCTCGTATCACCAAATTCTTACTGAAAGATCTTAGTTTCCAAGACCTGGCTGCTATTAAATTTAATTACTTCCCCTGTGGCCTTAAACCAAGGGCAGCTTGAAATGAGGGTGGCTCTTATTAAATGCAATTACTTTGCCCCCACAGCTTTCAAGGGAAGGGTCCATGGGAAAGGTGAAACTGGAAAATGGGGCCACCTCGTCTTATGAAGCATACAGAAGATGGAGTGCTGCTGACTGATGGACCCCCTCCAAACCAAGATGTGGTAATTCATAAGCCAATGGCATTGTTTTCAAAGATGGTGCAAATGTGTTCGATGGGGAAAACAGAAAATGGACAAATGTTGGTTGTTCTGTGATATAGAAGTCCTGGTGGAAGTCCCTGGATTCAGCCCAGCAGAAGACAGAATCAGGCCTCCCTAATAGATGGGACACTAAGCCAAGACTGCACCATGTGCCTGATTCTCCCTTGGCAGGCATTTTATTTAGCTAACAACTTCTATGCAAAGTCAAGATGCAAGAGCCTAATCTATGCTCCAGGTACAGTAAGGGAGAATTTGTCTGTTGTGTTCCTAAAGGGAAGGAAATATCAGAATCTGAATACATAGGCAGCTCTTATGATAATCCTTGGAGGCAAAGGGAGATGCATGGGGGACACAGGGCAATTTCCAAAAAGCTTATTATTCTCACAAGATGTTTGCAGAGGAATCTCTCTGCGAGCTGCTGAAAATGAACACGTTCCCAAATATCAAAGGTGAGCCAAATGCAAGCACTGCCTCTGAGGAAGCACAAGACAGTGAGTGCTGAGATTCCATCAGCAGATTAATCACATGCCAGACCTGGAGGCAACTGCAGCATCACAAATACAACTGTGTGGTGGGCTCTGCCCAGGAACCAGGACTTGCCACTGGAAAACTGGTTTTTAACAGCTTCAGAGAGACAGGCACTGCAATTGCTGCTTAAATAGGAGAAAAGGGAAGTGGGGAGAGACAGTGTACAATGACCTCAGAGCACGGCAGCTCATCTTCCTTCGTGCTCCTCATATGAGGAAGAGACATTTTAGCAATATTTACTGGCAATAGTTGTCCTTCGTGACTAAATTGAAATAAGTATCAGGAAGATGGATTAAGTTCCTCATGGAAAAGGCTGCTCATAGTTATCAGAGGTGAAAGCAGAGGTGGATCAGGAGGCCCCTTTTGAGGGCGGTGGTGCTCAGGCATGAGCCCCTGCAGGGAACAGGAACCGTGGTGTGTCACGGCGTGGGCTGGGCGTGCGGGAACAGAGGGTGTCACTACCCCGGGCTGCAGGGAGCGATCTGTCAAATGTCAGCACAGAGCCCAGCAGCTCCACAGGATGGCTCAAGATTTTCCTGTGTGGCACCCACTGGCTATTTCTGCCCCCCTGAAAGGCACAGCCACCCTCTCTTTGGGTGGCCTCCCTTTCTCAGGGACACATGGCACGCTGCGGGTACCCACAGCAGTCTCGGGAAGGGACCTCTGCCGAAAGCAGTTCTCACACCTCCTTCTTTAACAGGATCCAGGGCTCATGCAAGTGTGAAATGAAAGAAGCAGCTGCTGAGAGGGAGGGGGCAGAGAGGACTGTACAGGTCTCCTCCTGTTTTCCACCCCGAGGGAGTCGCTTGCAGTGGTCAGAGGGTCACCTTGGGGGATGACCCAAATCTCCCAGACCTCTCCGTGTGAGTGTGTGTGTGTGGTCCTCCTCTCACAGTGATCCTTGGGCTGTGCAAGGGAACTTGGGGTGCTTAATGCACTCCAGGGAAGTTCAGCCTGGATTTTCCTGCAGGATGATGCTTGGCTGATGGGAATCAGCTATCAGTGTGAGGGCAGGACCTGTGCCACACCCGGTAAGGATGGTCGGAGTGGATTGGGCTGAACCCAACTGCAGGGCTTGATGAAGCTTCAGTCCCTCAAGGAGAAAAGAACAACCCTCTGAACAATCTGTCTCATGACTGCAGTCTTGCATCCTCAGCCTTGTCATAGTTAATGCTTGTTTTTAGTTCAGAGATAGCCTTTAACTGAAATTCAAGGATTTGAGAAGTGATACTGGAGATCTAGATGAGTCCTATGTGATCGAAGTCCTGGAGAAGAGTTTTAGCTCCTACTTTGTTAAAATAGGTATGAGCCCTTCAGACAGAAGCCTTTTTTTTTTTGTTTTTGTCCTGTTATCCCAAACTGTGGTATAACAGCTCCCAGCAGGGACGTGGGACAGGAGAGGTGAACAGCCTGGGAATGATGAAGTTCTGTGGCATGCTGAATAGGAAATGCTGGGAAGGGGGATTTTGGGGAGGAGGGTGCCTTGGGTAAGCAACAGTCCATGGGCCATTGACTGAACAAGGGAGATTTAAGCTGTAATTCTGCCCGGTGATGAGGAATGGCCCATTTTACATCACCTCGGGAGCAATTCCAGAATGTCTGTTTTCCTACGGGGAACGATGGCTCACATTCCTTACCGTCAGGGTGGGTGGCAGAGACATCTGAGCTGCCCAGCCCGACATGCCCTTCCCAACACGAGGGATGACTCCCTTCCTGCCTGGATGCCAAATTCAATTTACTGCTGCGGGCAGGCAGTAAAAAGCCTGGCGTGGCAGCCCCCGCCCAGCCCAGTAACCTTCCTTGGGGGCAGAAAGGTGACAAGGGACAATGTGGAGGCAGCCACAGGGCAGGCACAATTGTTCTTCTCCCTTTTTTTCTTTAAGTACGGGAGAAGCTCGAGAAAGACACAAAAGACACACCGGGGTCTAATTTCTAAGGGAGGATGGATGCCAGGGTTTAAAAAGCTGCTCCTTGCATTTTGTTTCCTTCTGCCTTTTCCCAGTTAATAATCACTGTTATTTTGTGCTGCTTGCGTCGGTATTTTTCTCGGTTATTATGTGTCTGCAAAATATTAAGAGCCCTGAAAATTACAATAATAAGGAAAAATAGCCCAGGAAAAATGGTGTTAAAAACAAGCGTTCTCAGCCTTGCTCTTCTAGTTGCTCACCAGTGTCAGCAAAGCAGTTTTGGAGACAAAGGTGGGGTATGGTGCAGTTCCTGCAATGCTCAGATGGGAATTTGCTTTGTGGGAGAATGCATGTCCCTGTGCTTTCCCAGTACTTTCCCATTAAATATTAAACCTTGGTTTAAGTGGACTCATTTTATGCCACCTTACTTCTTAGCCCACTCACTATCTCCACTTAATCAACTTAAACTCTCTGAACACTTCCCAAATTATTCCAGCTTTGTCTATGTTCCTAAAACATGGTGAATAAAATGGTATCTTGTTCTGATTTGAGATGTTATTAGAGTTTCCCTTTTATAGGATATAGTTTCTTCCTTGGCTGTCTGGAAAGTAACAGAAAACCATTCCTGCATTTCAGGTGCATTTTCACTTCTCTTCCTGTGGTCTTAAAAATATCCCCTGTATCAACTTTTTTGATTATATTTAATGACATGAGAAGAAAAAAAATGCTTAAAAAATGTTCAGGTACCTTCACTGTGAACTGTGCACACGTCTTCTCATCAGGTTGGTACGAGATACAAAGCAGAACAAATCCCACTAAGGCCACCACACAGACCTGCAAGGGAAGAGATGTAAAATGTGTCAAGGTTAAAAAACACAAAACACAAAACACAATTTTTTTTTCCCCCAAAGCCAAGACACCTTTCTGTGTTTGCAGGACCATAATTCAAGAAGCAGTGTGGAAGCAAAGTCATCAAAGACACAGCACAGCAACAGCCCCCAGGATGTGTGTTGAGTTTTTGCCCACACAACCATCAAAAAAGAGCAGAAGGTTTCTGAAGTTGGGCTTGCAAGCCCAAAGATCACCATCCTATGTAGCTCTGGGTGCTGACGGGGTTTTTATGTCACCCATGCAAGTTTTAAATCATTAAACCATGGCTGCCACTGGGTAAGAAGCAGCAGAGTTTATTGCAGAGGCTTTCACCCTCTTTTGGAGTGGACACTTTACTAAAGAAGATGTCCATCTCCCCCGCAATCTGAAACTGTGTTTTAGCCCTGTGGCAGTAATTGCTGAAGGTTAAAAGTAATGGAAAAGTATTTGCATGTTGTTTATTCATTTAGCCATATTTATTATTATTTCTGGATTTATCTGCAGAAGGAGGTACTCACAGGCTGGCATTTTCCAGGTAAGAAGGGAAGATCCTCCTCTGAGCAACAACCAATGAATGTGATTTGCTTTTTTGTGTTTAGAAAACACAGTGTGTCCCCACTCTGTGCTAAGCACTCCAGTCAAGTGCCCTCCTCTCCCACTTTTTGGAGAATCAGTGAGCAAACCTGACAGGAGGACTTAGGAGCAGCAGAGTGCTGCTTTTTGGCAGTTCATCCCCTGGATGGAGGAGCTGGGTACCAGGCACCAGGTGAGGGCTCCCTGTGGGGCTGGATCTGGGCTTGAGAGAGACTGTTGGCAGCTGGAGCTGTGTTTGGAGGAAACTGTGAGTGTTTGAGCTGCCTTGGAAAAACAGGTCAGTTGATGGCATGCATGTGTTTTTAAATGACCCTTCAAATCACACCTTCAGAAGCCATTTTAGGTGTGATGAGCCTTAGTGGGGACTTTGGATGAGATCAGGCGCTGTACTTTCAGAGGTCCTCTCTACACGCAGGGCCAGGACCAAGTCTTTGCCTCCCTGCTAGGAGCATCTTTGGTTATAAATGACAGCTCTTAATTCTCAGTGACTGCAGCAAAATTCTGTATTTTTTTACCTTCTCCATTTTACTTCTGAAGTTTGGAAGAGTTGTCATTAATTTGAGGCTTTCTGCTTTTCCAGAGCAGTGGGATTTGCCCTGTTTGGTCAGAGCCACATGTGAGCTGCCTTTGCCAAGGTAATGCCATGGAGATGCCTGCAGGAGTGTGGAGCTCAATCACAGCCCCATCTCCACCTGCATGCCCTGAAAGTGCTGCTCACATCCAGATTTCCAGCTCCACAGGGAGCTTGACCTGCAGTGAAAAATGCCCAGCTGTCCTTTTGGACAGTAATGGAAAAACATGTTCCTTTTATGATCTGTTGCAGAAAGTATCAAACTTGTTGGTGCAAGGCCCAAGGCAGCAGCCCTGCAAAGGAGAAGTACGTCCCTATTGGAATAAATACCTTCCAACACACACAGAGCCATATCCCTCAAGAACCTGGACAATTAGTAACACTTTTCCCCATGAAGTTTTATTTCATGTCATTTCAGTGGGACATGAATAGGAAGTATTGCCCGAGAACATTTCTAAAGAATGCGTCAGTATTATTTACTCCTTTCCATGTCATGTGTATTTATATTCTGGTCCTGTGACTTACACACGGCCTCCAATTTATTTGTTTCTTTCTTTTTATTGTTGACAGCCATAGCTGACAGGGTTGTCTGGGGAAAAAACAACCTTTCTTGTCAAAGGTCCTTCAGTGCTGGGGTTTTTTTTGCCCTGTAGTGCTTCTGTGTGACTGAACCATGTTTTATTTCTCAGAATTAATCACCTATGTCCTTGGTCCCCTGCACCATATATTAATCTTTTAATTCAATTAACATGCCCATAAAACTTAAATCATAAGAAATTCTATTGCTGATAATATCCAAATGATAAACTCCCCCAGTGCCAGTAATGGCTGAAGGAGAGAACCTGCAGCAAGAACTAAAAAAAAAAAAATAAGCTTAAACACACTGTCTTAACATCATATCCCCAAAATTCATGACAAATCATAGGGCCTCCTTACATCAAAGCTGGACCTAAGTATTTTCAGGATCTGGTGCTGAAGGATCTTGTTATGAGCAATAAATCAAATTTGCTTTGCTTCAGCTACACTAGTGGGCATTTACACTTGCATGGACCAAGAGCCAGATTTGCCTCCAGGTGACTGCCATGAGACATCATGGGACTGTTCCCACTCCTCCTTCCCCTTCCATTTAACCACAGAGGGCTGACAGGGCTGCATTCATTTCCGAGGGCAGAGACCAATGCTGGAATTTTCTCTCTGCCATCAAGTGCCTCGGACAACTTTTGCAAAAACTCCTGCTGGCTTCACACGTGGCAGGATCAGACCTCCCTCTTCAGAAAACTTCCCATACAAAGGGCTATCACTTAAAAGCAGTTCCATTCCTGCACATGCTTTCTAAAGGTCCTCTGGGATTTAAATAATATGCTCAGGGACACTTGAAGAGGCACATTTGTAGAGAGGTATTTATAAAGGATTACACTGGGTCAGGATTCCGGCAAGTCTTGGCCAGGATATTTCGGAAAGCTTAAGCATTTCTTTTATAAGAACACAGTAACATTTTTAATTTTTTTTTTTTTTTTAACCAGAGATGTGTGTTTTTCTAAGTGGCAGTAAAAAATAACGTGGTTGAGAATTATGACCCACATATGTTTAACATTTCAGCTCTTTAAAGGTAAATTCACTCCTTGGAGGAAACCAAAGCGTGGAACGTTTATATAGGAAACAGCTCTATGCTGCTATTTTATACATTATTAATAGATCAGCTTTGAATTACACCTGTGAAGTGTAACAGAATAACTATAAAAATCCACGGTAAGTATTTTTTAGGAGCCTCCAAGTAACTATAACAGCTGCAGGCGTGTTACAGGTGCTGTTGATGCTGATTGCTAAGCAGCATTAGGTAATCCCACATCCTGGTGCTGCAACAGCCACTGCCACATCCCAGTGTGAAGCACACATTTCCCATGCCTTATTGACTGAGCACACAACATAAAATGCAATTGAACCCACTTCAGCACGTGCTTGCCACCAATCGATGTGCATTTGTTACACAAATAAAACAGATTCTCTGAGACCTGCAGGATGGCACTTAATTAGATCAGCTCTGGTCAACTGCTACCCAGAAATCCAGGAATTTGCATTTCTGTGCATGTTTCAACTCCAGTTTATTTCAAGATCCTACTTCAAAATTTCCATATGGACTAACACACCCCTTCGTGAATAGGTAGTGACGTGAAAGGTTATCCAAGGGAAGAATTTAATTTTGGAAAGCACTGCCTAGAAAAAGACCCAAATGTGATACAGAAGTATTTAGGAAAGGTAGAGATTTCATTTTGCTTAAGGCACACCCTGTGAAATCCCCCCAGTTCACAACCCAGGAGAACAGCTATTTACTAACACTGGCTGAAGAATTTAAATATTTAGGCTATACAAAATTTTTAATAATATTTCTTTCTGGAGGGAAGCAGTAGGCATTCCTCCCTTTGGGCAGGAACACCTCAGGGCTGAAAAGTGACTTAAGAATTGTTGGTTTTTTAAGCCAAAATCAAAACAGGAGGAGAAACTTTCCAGCTTGCTCCCACTCCAAAGAGGGCAGGAACCTGTTGTCATGCTATCCCATCTGCTCCTGCAAGGATTCAGCACAAGGTGTACGAGGAGCACAAGGACACCACGTGGCAGGGCTGAGGAAGGTTGGGTGTAATTAGGGGAAAAATGAACACGTAGGGCACAAATTTCCGCTGCGGTTTGCACTCATTATCTTTGCACGCTGACATATTCATGTGGTTTGCTTTATTCCGACAGATTTCAAAACCACAGATTGCTCTAATCTGTCTCCATCTCTCCCCTGTATGCTTGTGAAACTGGTTTTCCTTTTGTTATTGCTACAATTTTAGCCCAAGTGTAGAATAGGTGGTTTTCTCTTGCAAACTACCTCCTACCCAGAGCATCTTGAAAACCTTGGCTGGTAAAGCAGGAGGGTTGGGAACATCCACCAAGAAATGAAGGCAGGAGACAAAAACCTGGCTCTAAGGAGCATCCTGGGTCTGTGCCACATCACAAGGCAAATGCTGCAAATGCTCACAAAGACACAGTATAGCTCTTTGTATGGGGGCTTCGTTAGCGAGAACCTCCTGCCACAATTTTTAGGGGCAGAAAGCAAACACACTGCAGGACAAAACCTCTCCCAGGTACACCTTGCAATGCCACACAGCACTGCTGAGACCCACAGGAGGACTCTTCCTATTTAATGAGAATGTAAGGTCAAACTTCAGGAGGAAAATTACTGTTAATAGAATTAGGAAGACAGCTCCATTATGGACAAGCTATTTTGTAGTTGCTCACTTGGAGACACTGGGGATCTTTCTGTTTTCAGGGACAGAGGTAAAGAAGGATCTCTTGCAGCTGTCTCTGGAGTTTCTGGCTCTCCCTCACTTGGCTGATGGTTCTCCCACCTTATCAGATACAGCAAGGCTTAGCTCCTGTCTACACCTTTGGAGAAGCTGCTTTATCCACCAAATCTAACACTCCCACTGGACACAGATTTTGATGCAGGAAAAAACCTGTCCCTGTTGGCTTTGCCATTATAAACCTGGATCACCTCTGGTGCCAGACATCTCTACAGGCTGCTGCAGACAGCAGCACTGAGGTTCATTGGCTTTATGAGGTTTGAGGAAGCTGTGATGAAAGTGGGTGCTGCAGGCAGCTTTCACTGCCAGCTTTCATCAGCCTCAGGTCAGCCTGGGTCTCACTGTCACGTGTGAAAGAAGCCAGTCTGCAGCACAGAGGTACTGTGCCCTAATTTTTTTTTACCCCTTACAGACTTCTTATTAAATTTAAGGACAATTTAGTTGCATATAAGTTA